ACACAACAGCAATGGCTTTTATTAACCCACTACATTTTCCTTTCAGTTCATGGCCATAGAATAACTAGTTCTCCCTAGTAACCTTTTGTGTGTGTAATTCTGCAAGGCAATCTCATTCGCAATGGGGCAGCTTCTACGGGGAATGTTGCCTTCTGTCATGGTGTCCCCTTCTTTCACCCACTTGCCACATTGTAAAAGTGGCCGTGATGGTGGCCTCCTTGTTCCATTTGTATGTCCATCAATTGCCTGTAATTGGTCTTCTCAGTACTCATGTACTGACACTCAGAGGTGCCAAAATATATCCAGTGTATATCTGTACCTTGTGTTACAAGAAACAGAAAGTCCTTGTTTAAGAGAGCCAGAGGTAACTTCATACTCTCATAGTTAGAAGCATTAATGCAGAAGGAGAATGCAAAAACTACAATTTAACCTTGTTTTTTTGATGATTATACAAATACCAGGAACAGTCCCAGCACCGGGGGAAAAGTCTGTCAGAGGAGTTTACATGCCTGTCATGTGTAATATAGCAGGCTGCCAGCTGAGACTGGTGGTGAGCCCATTCAGAAATTTCAAGTCACAGTTCCTTTGGGAATAATGTGCTATTGTGCCTGCAAGCTCTAAGTCAGAAAGGGCTTTTTCCTTTACAGCTGGCATCAGGCGTAGTGATGAATCACTTGCCTCTTTAAATTTTGCTCTTCTTATTTTGCTGAAGATTACTGTCCATGATTGATGGCTCCGTGCAACTAGTAAAAGCAGAAAATAGCTGCTTTAGAGTAAAACAATAAGGAAAAAAAAGCAATATTATACTTCTGCCTTGGGTTTGCAGCTAAGTTAGTCAGTTATGCTTGCCCCGGAGTGGGAATTTAGTTTCCTATTTCATCCCTAGGTATTATTGTCTTTACTGGTAATGCCCATATCATGCTGTAAATCAAGGAAAATAGTTTCTACTAAACTAGCAAACACTTTAAGCTAGACTAAATATGGCTTCATTTTGAAAGGGTGTTTTGTGGTATAAAGCAAAATTATTGTATATGTGCACGTTGTATATAGTCATATAGCTTCATATACTTTTTTAGTTTTAGTATTTATCGTGGAGTTACTTAGTGGGCTACTTATTAGTCATTTGTTTATTGACAGTCTTCCATGCTAAATGAAGTCCTGAGGAAATAGGGACAAAGCTATTTATTGATTATTATCTCCATCACCTAGCACATATGAGGTGCTCAATAACCATTTCAAATCATTGCATGAATAACCAGTACAAGGATGTATTATGTAAGGTCTCACTATATCATATATTTTTATGAAAAGTCAGTCACATTTATGCCTTCGTATGAAAACATAAAGAAGTAAGAGTAACAAGAGAGAAAGAAAGTGATACAGAAGTTTGGAGGAGGAGAAATTACATTTTTGACTCAAAGGAGGAGAGATTAGGATAGGCTACAAGTCAGGGGATGGTGTTTGAAGTGGGACTTGAAAATAGGAGAGCTATGGGAAAGTTGGGGGGCTGAGAAGCATGAAAGATATTTAGGTAGAACAAACTGTTTGAAGCAGAGAATGGGTTACGGAATTTGTTGGAAATCATGCTGGAAAAGAGATTAGGATCAGTTTGTCAAGTGCTTTGTGTGACAAACCAGAGGATTAAAATTCTATTTAGTCAGAAAGAGAGCCAGTAAGGCCTTTATTACTCTCAGAGTGATTTTCCCAGTTCCTCACTCTAATCATGATGTTACTCACTGAAAAGCCAGTGACGCATTGGGAAGACCAGTGTGAGAACAATAGGAAGGATTTGTGGTTTGGAGAAAGGGAAGTAAGGAGTTGAATTAAAATGCTATTGTTATGTTCCAGAATATAGATGCAAAGAGGATGGTGAAAGAGGAGCATTTGCATTTGGGAGAGTGATCACTTGGAGGATTTAAATATTAGTTAATAGGGCAGTAATGCATTGCTACCAGAAACATGGAAAACCATATGATGAACAAGTTTGGATGACAAGATGATGAATATAGTCTTAATCATGTTAGTTAGAGGCACTGATAGGCCATATGTTTAGAAGTTTGACAATGCAACTGGCATTTCAGAGTTTAAAATCTTGATAGAGCTAATAGATAATGGGTAATACCAACATGAGGAGCAGTAGATGGATCAACTGGATTGGAGGTGAAGGTCATTGGAGATAAGATGTAATTTTTAGTAATCAGTAGTCCGGAGTTAAGGAATGAGCTAGAAGAGAGGACATGTAAAAAAGAATTTCTTACTTGTCTCCCAGATGCTAGAATCTGCTTCTAGCTATTTATCCAAACGAAGGTGGAGACTACAAATTAAATATAACCAACCACTAAATATTTACTGAACCTTCATCATACACAAAGCATGGTGATAGGCTCTGAAGGGATAGAAGAAAGTATAATTCCTAATTTCCTCTCATAAGAAGCTTATAATCTAGTTAGCCATAATCTAGTTATACATCTAAATGGCATTTATTTAATTACTGATTATTTATAAACATGAAATAAGCACCTGTGTTGTGCTTAGGTACAGCTGCTCTTTTCTACGTTCAGAAGTCTCCTGTCCAGGCTGGTTATTTCAGTTACTTCAACTACTCCTTTTAAAAATGTGGTGTCAACTCCTTTTTCTTACTCCCATTCTCCATCTGATTTATCAATGTTGTCCTTACAGTGTGATGTCAAAATCGTATGCAGAGGCAAGCAGATCAGCAAAGGTTAAAGTATGGCTATGATTTCTAGTGATAGAATTCCTTAGAATTATCTTTTTATTAATGCAAGCAAAGACTGGGTTTTTTTTGCCATTTTATGAAAAAAATATAACTTTTTAAATTACACATTTTATGGTCATTATGGAAACATTGGGAAATAAAGATAAGGAAAAAAGAAAGTAACACAGTTCCATATTCTTGAATTCCAGTAGATACAGAGCAGTCCCTTTGCCATTTAGCTGAGATATTTGTTGGCTTCTATGGCCAGCAGCTGTGTGACTGTAGACGGACGTTCCTACTCTTTCATAAGGTATTGAGATTCCTGGCTGGCACCTCTGACTCTTCTCAGTCCATCACCTGCTACGTGTGCATTCCCTTTTACTTTGCCCCGGGTCTTAGATCTTAGCCCTTCTCTCAGATCTAGGCTGCTGCCACTGTCTGCACTGACCTGCCGCTCAGAGACCATCATACTGGTGCTGTTTGTTCCTGTACTGGCGACATTTCCCTGCTGGCAGCCCTTTCCGGGGTCTACTGGCAGTTGCTCTTTCCTTATCGGGGTTTGGTACCACTAGCCTTCTTTTCTAGAGTATTCAGTGGATTTCCTCTCTACATTATGTGCTACCCCTATGGCTGTCAGAGTCATATGGTGATGCCCACACCATGAGAAAGTGTTCCTAGCTGTATTCATTGCCATTGCACAGGTAGCTTCAATGCCTGACATATGATTCCTTTTGACATTTCTAATTAATGCCAATTTGAAACCCAAATCACTCTTCTAGGAGACATTGACTTTGAGTTTTTCCTCTGATCACTTTCCTGCTTCAGGGTCTTCCCATTGCACTTGCCTCCACTCCCACTCCAGCAACTGCTAGAGGCATGGGCTGTGAAGGTCACCTTGATATTTCTCTTTTAACCCCATATTGGAGAAATGTCTACCTCATTGGAGTTCCAGATGACTCTGACTCCCTCCTAGTGGATAGGGCTGGTTAGTGGGCACATAAGTATCCTCAATAGTAAGCTCTAGATTTGTTGTCAGTTTACCATACCGTATCATTAGACTACTCAGGGTTATAAGAACCTGAAGACCCCATTCAAATAGGCAAAGCCAAATAGAAATTTATCAGGAATTTACCAGCTGAAAACTCTAGAGTGCAGGATAAACTGATTCCAGGTAGAGCTATAGACAGGGGCTTAAATGACAGCTTCCAGGATCTGGATTCTCTCTGTACATCTGAGCTCTACTTTCTCTGTTGTTCCATGGAAATATGGCTACTATATAGTTTGAACCAACATCCTTCCAGGTTCAAATTCAGAGAAAAATAAGGTCTCTCAGCTTCATTCAGAAAGTTATTATTAGGCTCAACTCTGTCTGTTGACAATTCCTTAATTGACTACTACAGGGGAATGAAAGGTACTGGGCCATATGCCAGCCCCTGGATCTGTGGATAGGGCTAGCCCCAGAAGGAATTGGATCACTCTTATCAAAAGAATAAGTGGATGCCAAACTGTTTGAAGCAAACAAGTATCTACTACAAGTACTACCTGCCATTGTCCTATGGCATAATAGTGAAAATACAAATGAGTGGGGTATTGTCCATGTATACCTGGAAAGGTGTACTATATGTATGTATATATATATTTGGAAATCTGAGACAACCTGTTACGTATCATTTTTATTTATCAAAAATAAGTTAATATTAGGTCCATTGTCTGATAAACCTGCTTGTACTTTTTAATTTCAATAATATATCATGACTGCCTGTTCATGTGGGAAACTATAATGATATATAAACACTGTTTTGGGCTTATAAAAATCTGTTGAAATGATTGTCACAACTTATTCAACCATATCCTCTTCTTATTGTTGAATATTTTTTTTTAAATTTTGAGTAAGTACAAATAATTCAGTGATAAGTATTTATGTAGCTGATACTTAGGGATATATTCTCCATTGTCATCTTAGAATGAACTCTATTAGAAGTGGAAACTTATGGCTAAGGTACTCTTTTAAGGCTCTTGATACATAATGACAACATGGTGCAATGTTTGCGCTCTTTCTCTCTCTCTCTCTCTCTCTCTCTCACACACACACACACACACACACCTGTATTACACTGTTCACACTAAATTTGAGGTCCTTATTGCATTTTTGCACATATAAAATAGATAATCTCACTGGCATACAAAAGCATTCCCTAAGTTTCAATAACTTAAAACTTTTTTGAAATCCTCTTTCTGCAGCATGTCGTTTTAGTGACCTGATCCAGATTTGTGTTCTCTGTAGATTCCATCACCAAGTCTTCAGAATCTTCAAGCAAGTTTCTGATAAAAATCCTGGGCAATGAAAAACCAAGACAAGGTCTTGGTACAATCTAGTAAGTTCTTCTTATATGTTGGTACCAAACTACTAGAACCTTAGAATCTGGGAATTTTAGAGTAGGAAATCAGCTCAGAATAAAATAACCCAGTTGCTTACTTTTTCTTTTTTTTTTTTATTTAATGTTTATTTATTTTGCGAGAGAGAGAGAAAGTGAGCATGAATGAGCAAAGAAAGGGAGAGAGAGAATCCCAAGCAGGCTCCGCACTGACAGTGCAGAGCCTGATGCAGGGCTTGAACTTATGAACCATGAGATCATGAGTAGGCCCTTGGACTGACTAAGCTATCCAGGAGCCCTCGAGTGCTTTTTTTTTTAACCAGTTAGGAAACAGACCCAGAGAAATTTGATAGTGTTTATACAAGGTCATACAGTTAAAACAATAAAAATACATACTACTCCTCTTCTTGTTCATATTTAATTCTACTCTTATTTTTCTCTCTACTCTTTAATTGTTTTATTTAAAATTATATCATTGGAGGATTCATCACACACTTCACTGAAATTAAGAAATTTTATGTCAGTGACATTTTTCTCTCAACACATCAGGAGAAACCACGTTAGTATGAGATGCCTTATTTTCTAGTGTACTTACAGCAGCTGTTTGATTTATTGATTCAACCTGTATTTTCTCACTATGCTATGAATATAATTAAAGCTTTTTGGTATATATACTCTCTTTCTTAGCTTGAAGATCATTCTGTTTTTTGAACATTGGAAACAAAATTAGTTTGAATGGGACCTTGGTGTCCCAACACCTTTTCACCTGTTGCAGAGGCAGGAAACTGTGTCATGGAAAGATGAAATGACTTGCCCAAAGAGGAATGTTGAGTCAGTTGCCTTTTCTTTGTCATCTCTGAACATTACATCATATCCCTGAGTCTTTTTCTCTTTCTTTTTATTTAGAACACATCTTTGAAGTTTCCTTTGCTGTGTTTAGAATTTTTGAGCCTCCTGTTGTTCAGTGAGGACTTTAGGCTTCCTGATACTATTCATACAACTTCACACTGATCTTTTGCCTTAACCTTGGGTATAGGGCCACATTCGATGGTTGTTCCTATTCCCTTTTAGAAAGTTTCTTTTTGTAGGAGTTGCTTCCCTTAAAAATTTAGAGCATCTTAAATGATTTCTTAGTTAAGATTCTTTCCCTCTAGACCATTCCAGATCATCCCTATTATCACAAGTTTATCCCTTTATAGCAACATTTTTTTCTATTAACTTTGGAAATACATTTTATTAAACTTGGGCAGAATTTTCCATTCCTATAACCTTGCTGTTATTTGGCAAGAATCACTGTTACTGAGTCCTGTGTAGCATCACAGCTCTACCCAACATTATTGCATTTCCACATTGGCAATTTGTTCTTCATTGATGATTAAGATTAGGTAGAGGGTCTTTCTTCCTCTGAGTAGATTAACAGTTGTCTGAGGGATTCTTTTTCGTTTCTGATATTTCCCAGCAGTGCCTGTGACTGGGTATGGAAATCTGTCCAAATCAGCAGTTCAGTATTGCAAAGCCTATTTAGTTACTGACATAACCTACCCTCTCCACAATCAGTCCTATTGTAAAAAAGAGGATATATATTTTTTCCTTTTATGTTTGTGTTCTCTCTGCCTAGCTGTCTGTTAGGAAGGGAAGAATGAATGAGTTCCACCTAACTTCACAACCTGGGAACCATGTCTGGATACACTGAATACCTGCAGTAAAAGCATGTTAACCTTCCACTATGCCATTTCCTAGTGATGGCTCTGACTAGCGCTGAAGGAACTCACTGAAAGTAAGGGGCTGTGTGGCAGTAAATTGAAGAGAGAAGGTCCTGTGTTGGATAGAAAGAAGATAAAAAGGAGATAACAAAGGAAATAAAGAGGGAAAAAATAGATGGAAAGTAAGAGGTGGTACAGGAATGTACAGATACAATAATCATATAATGAATTCTTCCCAAATAGCTTCAGATACACATAGGAGGAATTTGATGGAAAATTTTAAAAGGTAGCCAGAAGGTATATTAGGATGATAGAAGTGCTAATCTTTTTTAAGATAAAGGATACTGATAGGGGGAAGGAAAAAGATCTCTATGAAAAAAAGCGATTGAAAAATGTTAGATAGGAAGGGTGCCTGTGTTTCTTTCAAGAGAGAGGAAGATTGGAGAATATTATGTCAGTGTTTCTTAAAGTAATTTTAAAAACTCAGATTCCTCATTGGGCTCATGGATCTATATTTTAACACAGAGATGACTTTTGAGCAGATAAAGATTAAAAACCAGTATCTAAGCAGGTTGAAAAGGGATTGGATTTAATATCTACAGGCAAGAGAGCAGCTTTAGACAAGGGGTAAATCTCTTCTGAAACCAGTTGGGATGACAAGAAAATGGATATATTTAATATATGGTGAAGTACAAAAGGCATGTGAAAAGGAAGTTAAGAAGACTTACATTGCTTTATGTTGCATGATTCTTCACCTCTATTATTTGCTTAAGGACAGCAATAATTTTCTGTGTGTATTAGTGTCTAGGCTAGACACTTCACTTCTGTTCCAGGACTTTAGTCTCAATAGTCACTCTATATAGTAGACATTATCATCCCCTCCCCTGTTTATAATCCTCTTTCTGTAAAAACAACAACAACCCACAAACCAAAGCTCCCAGAAATTGAGTAACATGTCAGAATAACACATCCAAGTAGTGGCAGAGCAACTAGGGAGTAAAGATTTTCAGTTTTGTGGGCAACTACTCAGTTCTCTGCCACTGTTGTGCAAAAGCAGCCACAGGAAATATGTAAAATGATGGGTACACTTGGTTCCAGTAACACTTCATTTGTGGACACTGAAATTTGGATTGCATACCAAATGCACATATCCTTGTGAAACAAAATCTTCTTTTGAGAATTTTTTCAACCATTTAAAATTGTAGAAACTGGTGCACCTGGTTGGGTCAGCTGGTTGAGTGTCCAAATCCTCATTTTGGCTGAGTTCATGATTTCAGGGTCGTGGGATTGAGCCCCATGTTGGGCGCTGTGCTGAGCATGAAGCCTGCTTAGGAACTCTCTCTCTCTGTCTCCCTCTCTCTTTCTCTCCCTCCACCCCTTACTCCCCCTTCCTCTCTCAAAAATAAAAATTAAAACCAAGCATACCCAACACACACACACACACACACACACACACGCACGCACGCATACACAAACGTAGACACCATTATGGGCTGTGCAAAATAGGTGGTAGGCCAGATTTCACCCACAAGCCATAGCTTGGCTTGTCAGTTCCTGGCATAGGGGGGACACTGCTTGTCAAATTCATGCTCTCCACACCCCCCAGGTGTGGGAACTGAAGTTACCCATCCAATGAGAGTAAACACTAAGGCTTATGGTATGAAGTCAAAGTCTGAAGTGATTGTTCTCTAGAGAAAAACTATGTTTCTGTATAATTTGTGTATAATTTTACATCTTTAGATCCTGGACCAGAAAATGAGAAAGCAGGCTACAATGAGGATTATAGTGCCTATCATCTATTTGTCTTTCCAGATTAATTTTCCATGCTGCTCTGAGACTAAGGAGGCTGACCTGAATGATGCCTCCTTATTCTTTTGTTTTTGGTTGGGGCTGGGCAGAGGAGCACCAGAAGAGAATGAAAGGAAAGGAGGAGAAGTAGAGTTGGGGGTCTTTCTTCCTCTGTTTTTTCCCTGAGGGGTCCATGCAGGTTGGATGTTTTTACTAATGTCTTTGCTCCCTTTTAAGTGTCCCTCTTTGCAGGGTTCCGGGAACCACTTCTCTCCACCTCCAGTCTAGGGAAATTAAGTGTGTCTCGTGCCACTGGCCACAGGATCCCTCATAGTTTCCTTTCTCACATCCTTGAATATAGTCCTTTCATTGATCTCTTCCCAAATCACACAGTTTGAATCTGCCTTCTGTTTCCTGTGGAGACCCTGCAACTAGGTATAGCAATATCTGTTTAGGAGGCTTCTCCGGAGTACTTCATCCTTTGCTTCCACTTGTATGTACCCTGTAATATATTCTTAACAGCTTCACTGAGGTTTAAGTGATGTACAATAAACTGCATGTACTGAAAGTGCACATTTTAAAATGTTTTAATATATGTACGTACCCATGAAACATCACCAGGATCAAGAAAATGGACATATTCATCACCCCTCAAAGTTTCCTTGTGCCCCTTTGCAATCTCTTTAAGCTCCTCTCCCAGCTCACCTTGGCCCCATGGCCCAATGGCCCCATCCCTAAGTAACTTGTCTACTTTCTGTCCTTAGAGATTAATTTACATTTTGTATAATTTATATATGTAAGTTATATACATACATATCAGGAGAATTATTCAGTATGAACTCTTTTTTGTCTGGTTTCCTGTTTTTTTGAATTTTTCTTTTAGAGAGAGAGAGTGGGAGAGAGGAGCAGAGGGAGAGAGAGACAGAATCCCAAGCAGGCTCCATGCTCAGTGCAGACCCCCAAGTGGGGGGTCAATCCCACGGCCCTGGGATCACCACTCGAGCTGAAATTAAGAGTCAGAGGCTCAACCAACTGAGTCACTCAGGAGCCCCTTTGCTTCTTTTTCTTAGCATCATTTATTTCTTATAATATTTTCAGCAATAGCAGTAGTGTTTATTGCCTGTACATATCATGATATCTATTTGCCACTGTTTACACTTCAAGTTCTTCAAGGCATGCTACACTTGACATTATACCCCTAGAACCTAGCATGGTGCCTGTCATATAGGAGATGTGGTATGGTGGGTCACCTCTATCCCCTGCGCTATTTGCCTCTTTGGCAATGAGACTTTTTTTTTTTTTTTAAGATTTTTTGCTTTAAAATAATCTCTATACCCTATATGGGGCTCAAACTCACAACTCAGAGATCAAAAGTCTCACACTTTACCGACTAGCCATAAGTGCCCCTGGCAATGAAACTTCTCAAGCACCTTCTGCAGAGAGTGGTTAGTAATCTGTTCATAGTCGAAGGCTGTCAATAGGACTGGCCCTCCATCAGAAGATGAAGCAGGTGAGTGTCTTACTCTTTCCATGGGATTTATAGTTCTGCACCCCCCTCATCTTCCCTCTCATCCCCACTGTGTATAAGTTCAAGAAATCGACCTCAGTTTATTGCGGTATATAAATGATACACCCACCACTGGTTTCTCACTGTCCATGTCAGCACTGGGGACCAGAGAGGGGACTTCTGAGGAAGGGTGAAGAGGTTAGACAGTGCTGAAGCAGAAATAGTCTTGTGTTTGTGCCTGTGAGTTTTGGTAGGGGTGTGGATCACATACTTTTATGCAGGCACTTACCCAAGAGAAATGAACAGGAAATGTACCTTCATAGTTTCTTTCTCTTTCATTCTGGACTGCTTCTGTGAAGTCCGAAGGATTATGGGAACTTGTATTATTGAAAGCTAAATTGTATGATTCTTTCCATGTAGGTTTCTGAGCTGCAAGACAACAGACCAGATTCTGCGGGACAGTGCAGGCCTGGAGTAGCGATCAGCTTTGACTTCAGGCTGCAGTGAGTACAAGACCTGTTTTGGTTAATGGGATGAAAATCCTGTGATAGAATCTTCTTCCCTCCTTCAGATGTATGATAGCTGTAGATCTTAGCCCGCTCAAGTTTGGTGTGGCCTGGATAAGTCCTCTTCCTTCATAATCTCTTCCCCCATGAGTTTTCAATGCCTATTAAAACCTTGTCTTTATTCTGGGACAGAGGTAAACAAGGAGAATCTTTAATGGATTAAAAAGGTAAGCCATTCCGAATTGCCCCTTCTGTCTCCTCTGTCTCCTCTGTAATACTGCATGGTCTTCTGTTTTCACCCCTTTAATAGAGTCAAGACTGAGCTGGCACTAATTATTTACATTTTAATGTCACCGAGTTTCATAGGCAAGCCCAGGCTTACTGGGACAGCAGCCAGCTTATCCCCAAGGGACCCTGGTGCTGAAGGAATACGTGTTAACTGAAATGTGAGGCTATAGATTTCAGCAGAGCTGCCTCCAGTTCTTTATAATTGCAATAGATATAATAATTTATCAAGGACTAAATACATTTGTGAGCTACCCTAGAAATTTAACCACACTGTAGAAGTTTCTTTCTTTTCTGCTTTGCTAAGAGTTGGGGTTTTCTTCGTGTTTTCCCAATCAGGAATGGATATTGCATTCTTTCAAATGATTTTTCTGTCTGTTGAGACAATCATGACTTTTTTTTCTCTTTTGGTTGTTGGTATGGAGAATACCTTTAATGGATTTTTGAGTGCTAAATCAACCTTGCATTTCTGGAAGAAACTCCATTTGGTCATCATGTATTCTCTTTATACTTTGTTCTCTGATTTGCTAGTATGTTGCCATGGAGTTTTGCATTTAAGCTTATGAGGAATAACTATGTGTGATTTCTTCTCTGATATGTTCTTGTCTTGTTTTGGTATCAGAGTAATACTGGCCTTATTTAAAAGAATAGGGAAGTATTTACCTGCTTCCAAGTTTCTGGAAAAGTTTGTGTAGGGTAGTAATTTTTCTTCAATGTTTCAGAAGATTTACCAATGATGCTGTATGTACGTGGAGTTTTTCATTGTGGGAAGGTTTGTAACCGTGAACTCAATTTAATAGACCTAAGGAAGCTATTCAGGATAGTCAAGCATATTTTTGAATAAGCTTTGTTAGTTTGTATTTCAAGTTATTTGTCTACTTTATCCAAGTTGTTGAATTTAATGGCATAAATTTGTCCATAATATTTCTGTATTATAATATATATAATTATATATAATATAGCTATATTATATATTCTTTTACTGTCTTCACAATGTGTAGTGATCTCACTTCTCTTATTCTTAATGTTGGTAATCTGTGTTACCTCACTTTTGTCCCTTGTAAGTCTGGCTAAAGGTTTATCAATTTTAACGGTCTCAAAACCAGCTTTTGATTTCATTTATTTTCTCTATTGTTTCTGTTCATTGGTTTCCTGTCTGATATTTACTATTTCTTTCTGGGTTTTTTTTTTGTTTGTTTGTTTAACTTGCTCTTCATTTCTAGTTTTTTTTTTTTTTTTAATTGGAAGCTGAAGTCATTGATTTCAGGCTTTTCTAATACAGAATTTAGTGCTGTAAATTGTCTTCTAAATACAGGCAGCCCACAAATTTTTTTTTTTTTTAATTTATTTCTAGGAGAGAGAGAGAGAGAGAGACAGCGTGAGCAGGGGAGGGTCAGAAAGAGAGGGAGACACAGACTCTGAAACAGGCTCCAGGCTCTGAGCTGGCTGTCAGCACAGAGCCCGACGCGGGGCTCGAACCCACGAACCGCGAGATCACGACCTAAGCGAAAGTCGGACGCTTAACCGACTAAGCCACCCAGGCGCCCCAGCCCACAAATTTTATATGGTGTATTGTCTTTTTAATCAGTTTAAAATTTCTAATTTCCCCTTTGACTTCCTTTTTTGACCCATGGGTTATTTAGAAGTATGTTTAATTTTCAAATATTTTGGAATTTTTCCAGAGATCTTTCTGTTACTGATTTCTAATTGACTGCTATTATGGTCAGAAAACATACATGTATAACTTGAATTCTTTTGAATTTGGGGGGACATTTATTATAACCTAGTATATGATCTACCTTGGTAAAATATGATACAGGCATGTGATAAGAATCTGTATTCTGTGGTTGGGCCTCTATAAATGTTAGTTGTACCAGTTTGGTTAATAATGTTCAAATTTTCTATATCCTTACAGATCTTTTTTCTACTTGTTCTACTAATTATTGAGGGAAGGGTATTAAAATCTCTAACTACCATTATCTTTGCATCTATTTCTCTATGTGGTTCTGTCAGTTTTTGTTTCATGTGGTTTGAAGTTCTCTTATTATATGTATAATTATATTTTACATTTACATATAAATTATAATTATATGTATTATTATATGTATAAATGTCTAGGATTATTATGTCATCTTTATGAATAGACATATTTGTCATTATGAAATAATTCTCTTTATACCTGGTGGTATTCTTTGGTCTGCCTTCTTTGGGACTGAATACTTCTTTGTGATTTAATTTTATTTGTTGACTTATTAACTATGATTTTTTTTTGTTCTGTCATCTTAATAGATACTTTAGGGTCTATAGTGTACATCTTCTGCTCATAACACTCTACCTTTAAATGGTATACCATTTCATCAATAGTATAAGAACCCTATAATAATATGCTTCCTTTTCTTCTGTTCCAACCTTTGATCTAACACAGGCATACATTTACATATGTTATAAACCTCATAATACATTGTTTATATTTTGTTTAAATAACCATTATCTTTTAAAGAGCTTTGTATAATAGAGGAAAAAAATCTTATTTTTTACCCATGAAGTTATAGTTTCTGGTGCTCTTCATTTCTTGATATAGATTAGGTTCACCCCAGGTAACATTTTGTTTTGCCTGAAAGGTCTTCCTTAATGTCATGTAGTGCAGGTGTGCTTGTGATGAGCTCTTTCATCCTTTTTATGTCTGAAAAAGTCTTTATTTTGCCTTGGTTCTTGAAAGGTATTATCTAAGTTTTTTCTTTCAGTATAATACAGATATTACTCCACTGTCTTCTCACATGCATTGCATCTGGTAAGAAATCTTTTGTTTTCCTCATATTTATTCCTCTTACATATTGTGTCATTTTTTTTTTCTGAGTACTTTTAAGTTTTTCTGTTTGTCACTGGTTTTGAACCATTTAATTACCATGTAGCTTGATGTAGTTTTCTTCACGTATATCATACCTTGGGGTTCCTTGAGTTCTTCAATGTATAGGATTATAATTTTCATCAAATTGGAAATATTTTTAGGCATTAACTTCTTCAGAAAGCTGCTTAAAATTGTTCCAGAGCTCACTGATGTTTTTTTTTTCCTTCTATCTATTTAATATTTCATAGCTTCTGCCATTTACTCCTTCTGGTGTTTTGTTAATTACTAAAAATTTGACTGGGGTCTTTTTTGTTTTTGGTGTCTTCTAGTATCTGTGCATAACGTTTTGAATACAAGAATATAGTTAAAATTCTTTCACTATTTCTGTTCAATAATCCTAATGTATGTGTCAGTTCTGGGTTGGTTTTTGTTAATTAATTTATTTCCTTTTTATAAGTCAGATCTTGTTTCTTTGCATGCCTGATAATTTTTGACTGGATGTGAGACATTTGAATTTTACCTTGTTGTCTGTTAGATATGTTTGTATTTTTATAAATATTCTTGAACTCTGTTCTGTGATACAGTTACATTTATTTGAGACATTGATTGTTTCAGGTGTTTGCTTTTAAGATTTGTTAGGACCCAGAGCACTGCTCATTCTTAGGCTAATCATTTTCCATCACCAAGGCAAAACAAAACAAAAGAACTGTGTATATTCTACCAATGTTTCTAAATTTCTGAAAACTCAGAGCTCAGTACAACTTCTTAATCAAGACTCCAGAAAAAATGTCAGATAAAATAAGGCTTATGTCTTTTCTCCATCCTTACCACAAATAACATACATACACATACACACACACATACACACAGACACACTCCTTTGATGTTGATGCAAACAATAGTGTATAAAAAAATATACTTGCGTAAAAGTTTCATTTAAGGATTAAATAGCATGAGTAGAAGAGAAAGCCAAAGCTATTGTGAGTGGGAAAATTTGGGGGGATATTAGAGGTATCTGTAAATTGTGATAATGGCTGGCAGCTATCAAAGGTTTCTGCAGACTAATACAGAGGCTGTTGTGTAGTGAATGAGATGGTTAGGAGGGAGGTCCATTCAGATCACTGTGCATCTTCAGTGATCTTTGAGACCCAGGGAGAGATAAATATCTTGGGAGGAGTATATACAAAAATAACATCTAACCTCAACATCGTAATTTAGAAGAAAAACCACTTCTTTTTGTAGAAAGAAGAGAAATCTATGGCAAAATTGCTAGAGTGGATTGGCTACAAACTTGGAACATATTTTTGGGTCAAAAGTCTGGAACGTATTCTAGGAATGAGTAAGTGGTACTATTTCACCTGATGTACTCCTAAAAGCTAAGTTTCGTTTTTAGAGGTGTTTTGCGACCATATTAAGAGAAACACCTCTCGAACTCTGGTTGGGGAAAATTGCAGAATTGAGAAAGGGCATTGCTTGTTGGAATATTTGGGAAGCTTGCCTTATGTAGTCTCACATTTCAAACATTGATAAGCCTTTTATCACTGTGCGTGGTCACTTCTGGCAGTGGGACCCTAAGGTTAAAAGCATGAAGAAAGATGAGCAGTTCTCTGTGGCGTATCTTTAACTACAATTCAAAATGAGGATTAAAATGACTCCAGATAACTAGAGTCTGTAAATGATATCCTAGAAGTTGGTGACTGTAACCGTGATTCTCAAAACTGTGTGGCCTGGAATTCTCGGAAGCTCTTCTTAGTGCTTCCTGGGGATTAAGGCTGCGGGTAGAAAAGTTGCAGTCCCTCTGATTTTACTCCAGTCAGTAGACCATACTGTTATATTTTTCACATATGGAGATTCTGTGAAAACT